ACGGGGTTTCACCGCGTTGACCAGGATGGTCTCGATCTCTTGACCTCGTGATCCACCCACCTCGGCCTCCCAAAGTGCTGGGATTACAGGCTTGAGCCACCGCGCCCGGCGAAACCTAAGATGTTTTATCGCCACTTAGAGGTTACCTCAAAGATCCTCCAGGATGGGCATCATAATTTTGCAAGAAGCAGTTACGGGCACAGAAAATAAAAACAGCCATTTATGAGACATACAGGAGCACACTGTCTTTGAGAGTAAGGAACTATTTCCTGTGACCTTTAGTACACTCAGTAGTAAGGAATAATTAGCCCTAGATGGAGCACTGCTCTGGACCTACAAGTCATAAAGGGCAAATCATTAAAAAAGATTTCTAAAATCTTTTTTACTAGCTGATTTTGTGATTTACTATAAAGCTACAGTAATCAGAATAGCCTGGTATTGGCATAGGGTTGGACAAATTGATCAGTGGAAGAGAATAGTATATCCATACATAAGTGGTCATCTGATTTTTGATAAAGGTGCAAAGGTAATTCAAAGGAGAAAGGACAGTCTTTTCAACCAGAGGTACTATAAAAACAACTGGATATTCATATACATTAAAAAAAATTTTGATTCATATCTTGCACTATGAACAAAAATTAACTCAAACTGGCTGGGCATGGTAGCTCATGCCTATAATAATCTCTGCATTTTGGGAGGCTGAGGCAGGAGGAGCACTTAAGCCCAGGAGTTCGAGACCAGTCTGGGCAATGTAGTGACATTTCATCTCTATTACATAAAAAAATATATAGAAAGCCTAAAGTATAAAACTTCTAGAAGAAAATAGGAGAATATCTTTGAGAACTTGGGATAGATTTCTTAGATATTACGCTATAGAAGAACAAACTGATATGTTGGACTTCAAAATTTAAAACTGCTGTTCTTTAGAAAACACTGTTAAAAGAATGAGGTGACAAATCACAGACTGAGAGGAAATGTTTACAAAGCATATGTTTGATGAAAGATTTGTATTCAGATTACATAAAGAACTCTTAAAACTCAATAAGAGCCTTTCCTTTTGGTGGTGCACAGCAGCAATATGGTGAAAATTTCTAAGAAGAGGAAGTTTGATAGCATCTTCAGAAATAAACTGAGCAAGTTCTTCACTCAGAAACTTGCAGAAGGCGTCTACTCTGGAGCTGAGGTCCAAGTTATGCCAGCCGGAATAGAAATCACTGCCTTAGCATCCAGAATGCAGAATGTTCTTGGTGAAAAGAACCACTTTATCTGTGAATTGGCTGAGGTAGTTCAGAAGAGGTTTGGCTTCCCTGAGGTCAAGTAAAGCTTTATGCTGAAAAGGTGGCCTGAAAGAATTCTCTATGCCATTGCCCAGACAGAGTCTGTGCTATAAACTACTATTAGGTTTTCTGTAGGGAGAGCCTTCGGTAGTGTGCTGCGCTGTGGAGAGTGGGGCAAGGGCTACGAGGTCATGGTGTCAGGGAAACTTAAGGACAGAGAACTGAATCCATGAACTTTGAGTATGATCTCATGATCCACAGCAGGGACCCTATTAGCTACTATGTTGATACCATCATCCATGTGCTTCTCAGACAAGGTGTGCTGGGCATCAGAGTGAAGATCATGTGTCCTGGGACCAAGTGGTAAGATTGGCCTTAAGAATCCCCTGCCTGACCACGTGAGCACCGTGGACCCTAAAGATGAGATACTATTCACCATGCCTATCTCAGGACAGATGGTTTGGAAGCCATGCTCTACCCAGCCCCAACTGAATAATAGGGTCTCCTTGGCAGCTGGCTCTGGAGTCTGGATGTTGCCTTGTAAAGACCTTTAATAAAATATTTTAAGAAGACAAAATACAACAAAAACCCTTACTAATACAACAAACAACCAAATTAAAAATTGGCCAAAAGATTTGAACAGACATTTTATCAAAGATGATTATACAGATGACAAATAAGCACATGAAAAAATACTCAATATCATTAATTATTAAGGAAATGCAATTAAAACCACAATAAGACACCACTACAAATCTATTAGAATAGCTGAAATATAAAAGACTAGCCATACCAAATGTTGGTGAGGATGTGCTGTTGATGGGAATGTTAAATGGAACCACCATTTTGGAAAACAGCTTGGCTGTTCCTTAAAAAGCTAAGCATACACCTACATATGACCCAATAATTCCACTCCTAAGAGACAAGAGAACATAAATTGATACAAATAGCTTTTACATGAATGTTTATAGCAGCTGTGTTTATAATATCCAGAAGCTGGAAACAACCCAGTGTCCATTAATAGGTAACTAGATTAAGTTGGGGTATATCCATGCAATGGACTGCTACTCAGCAATAGAAATGAATGCACAATTGATACAACTAAAAGTGTAGTTAAATCTGAAAATAATTATGCTGAGTGAAAGAAACCAGAACAAAAAAGGTACATATTGTATGATTTTATATGATTTTATTTATATAAACTCTAGAAAATGCAAGCTAATCTATAGTGACAGCAGATCAGCAGTTGCTTAGGGAGAGGGGCAAAAAGGGGTGGGAGGAAGGATTACAAAGGTGCATGAGGAGATTCTGGAGGTGATAGATATGTCCGCTGTCGATTGTGGTGATAGTTCACAGGTGCATACTTATGTCAGAATTGACCAATTGTATACTTGAAATATTGGGCTCTTTCCTGTATGATGATTATGTCTCTGAGCAGCTACACAGAACTTTGTGTAGAGCCTAGAGCATCACTGTGAGGCTGGGTTAGGGATTTTAAAATGTGCCCATGTTCTTTCAGTCTCTGGCAGTGATGAACAGGTATACACAATGGGTTTGGGTTTTAGAGCATGAAAAAACTATGCTAAAATGAAATACTGTTTCAGGACTTGAAAAATGCCACTATTTTTTGTAGAGTATTATACTACATCTGAAATATTCTGATCCTGTATATAAATAATATAAAAAAGCAAGGCTTCCTGTAGTGTATCACATTGTCAAATAGGTCAAGCTTCAGTGCAAATGCTTTGAAATAGGTACAGTAATTCCTGGCTGATTGTTTTTGTTTTCCAAATGAATATGCTCAGGTAAAAGTGATGGTTGACTCAGGAGACCGGAAGCGAGCCATCAGTTCTGTGTGTAGCTACATTGTTTATCAATGTAGTCGGCCAGCTCCTCTTCACTCCAGGGATCTGCACTCCATGATAGTGGCAGCTTTTCAGTGTCTCTGTGTCTGGCTGACAGAGCACCCTGATATGCTTGATGAAAAGGTGAATTTATTTTATTTTAAACCATTAAGTAAAAACAATGTATGCTAGCAAAGTGCCTTTTGAAAGAGAATATCTAAATTTAAATACAGTATTGTACACTTTAAACTGAAAATACATGTTAGATATAATGGAGCACTTGTCCTTTTGGGTACAACTTGAAAACTGTCATTTTGCTTATATTTGGTTGCAGATTAACTCATAGAGAAATTCTTTAGAAAGATGGGACCTTGACTAACTTATCTGAACTATCAAGACTGTTCTTTCTTGAAAGGATGGTATCCTGGATATAGCTAGTAGGCACTTTGGTCACCCTTCACCAAACAAAGAAGGGCTGTTGATTGCCAGGCTGCAAACCTAGAGCACAACTTGTCCGTAAAGGTTGCTTCTATCGAAAAATGTTACTTCATACTCATTTCTTCACTCTCAAGTGGGCGCAGATAACTAGTCTGCATTCTCTACCATTGTTTCATGTAATGTCTTCCTTATAGGCAAGCAGGTGTTATAAGGAATTCACAGCACAAATAAAAGGAGAGATCATTGAATATTTGTAGAAACCTTTATGTAGTTTAAGAAATAATACTGTTGATTAAATCTTAGTCATTTTCATTATGGCTTCTGAAGTTGTAATACCAGAAATTATCTAAAAATGTCAATGACAAGATTTCCTTTGGATATTATACCATGTCTTAAACCAGCCCAGGTTTCACTGAATTTCTATTTCATCTCTTTGTGCTTTGATTTACAGTCTTTGGTAATTTTACAAGAAAATTGAATTGAATTTACTTATCTAACTCTCTAAACACCCAAATTGAGTTCTTTAAAGAGAAATCGAGGGATGGGGGTGTAAAGTTTATGATATTACTATGAGGTTAATATACACCCGTTAAAGAAATTAGCAAGAAACTGGAAGCCCTTCCACCAAAATGCATCTACTGTTAGCATTTGGATGGATTTCCTTGTCTTCTCATGAGAAAGTTGTGTTACAAAAATGGATCTGCCTTTTCTGCCTTTAGGACTGCCTTAAGGAAGTACTGGAGATTGTGGAACTGGGTATTTCAGGAAGTAAGTCCAAGCACAGCGAGCAAGAGGTCAAGTACAAAGGAGATAAGGAGCCAAACCCTGCATCTATGAGGGTAAAGGATGCTGCTGAAGCCACCCTAACATGGTATGGAAGTGACCGCATAGGGATTGTGCCTAGGAATTAGATGTGGTTAGCAGTGATCCAATTGTTTCATTTCCTTCCCGATTGTTCAGCTTTATGTGATGCAACCCCTTTAGGGTACTTTTTCTCCAGAAATAAAATGGAAAGAAAATCTATCTATCTATCTATCTATCTATCTATCTATCTATCTATATATATATATATATTTTTTTTTTTTTTTAGACCAAAAGAAACTAGGAACTTGGGGTTGAGAATTTGAGTCCTTCTTTTTCTATACCGTTTGATGTTAATTCAAGTCAGTGTGTGTTACAGTTAGAAAGGATCTTGGAGAGACTTATTGCACACTTCACTTCAGTAGCTAAGTCCAGAGATGGTGTCTGTCTCTCTGTGGTTACACTATGAGCTCTGCTTTCCAGCTCAGTGGTCTGTGTTCTCTGCTATACCATTTATATTACACAGTATAGGTTAATTCAACAAGATGTATGAACTCTCTGAAGAACTGAGAATAGAATCATAAAGATAAATCCGATTTAGTCACCACTACCTTTACCACCTTGTCTGCTAGGGAAGATGAAATATGAACACAAATAACTGTAATATTAGGTGGAAAATAAGTGTTCCAAGAGAAGGGATATAAATAAAATGCTGGGGAGTTGGAAGGAGGAAATGAATACTTCCAGATAACGGGAAGTCAGAGTAACATTCTTAGGGAAAATGACATTGAACCTGACTGTGAGAGGATGGGTTAAGTTTGAGCTGCAAGCCAGATTATAGGGTGGGTAAGAAGGCAGCACCAAGGCTGCTGTTTTGAGCATTTTGGTGTAGTAAAGGGGTAAAGACAGTTTGGTACCTTGAAAAAGAGTCGCAGTGAAAGTTGAGAGAGTTTGTGTTTGGCTTGTGAGCATAGGGGAAACAGGGAAGGAAGGCAGCCTAGGCACGTTGGTGGACTGAATGGAACAGGTAGTGGAGATTAGGTGGAACCATAGTACACATGGAAAGATGGGGCTTATGAAAGGACATGTGCGGATGAAGCCTCAGAAAATGTAAAAGCAACAAGGAGGAGTGTCAAGTCCTTGGGCTTGCTCATTTTGGTCTTAGTATAAAGTGGCAGGCAAAACCACTTGAAAATTTGTGTGTAAGGCTTCCCTTACCAAGATCCCAGCATCTTCTGTGAGTTCAGTGGCCGGTTGCTTACTTGGGACATGCACAATCAAGTTGGATTTGTTTCTGTTCCTGTGGGCTTAAGTCATTCAGTGAATTTTTGGAAGAGTGCTTCCTGTCATTTAGTCCTGCTCACTATGCAAAGGTTGAACTTTCAGTGACTTTATGGAGGTTTGGCTAATAGCTAGAAAATAAAAAAATATATATGTGAATAAAGCTACTGAAGCATGTGCTTATGCTGATGATGAATACTAGAAGTAATCTAAGTTCAGAGAGAAGACTGTGTGTGGGCCAGAGTAGCCTTAAACGTGTCATGGGGCCGGGCGCAGTGGCTCATGCCTGTAATCCCACATTTTGGGAGGCTGAGGCTGGTGGATCATGAGGTCAAGAGATCGAGACCATCTTGGCCAATATGGTGAAACCCTGTCTCTACTAAAAATACAAAAATTAGCTGGGCGTGGTGGCGCTCACCTGTAGTCCCAGCTACTTAGGAGGCTGAGGCAGGAGTATTGCTTGAACCCAGGACGCAGAGGTTGCAGTGAGCCGAGATAGCACCACTTCACTCCATCCTGGAAACAGAGCAAGACTTCGTCTAAAAAAAAAAAGTGTCATAGAACTAAAACTTGATGTGTGCCTTGAAAAGTAAGAAGGATATGGAGAGAAAGGAGAGGACATTTTTCACTAGAAACTCTATTATACAAAAATAAGTTTGCTCCATCCTAGCCTGGATGGGGTTTTTATGAGAGCATGACTGGCCGTGAGGATCGGTTATGTGCTCAGGGCGAGTAGAGTCTTGGGATGCTTCTTCACAACCTTGCCAGTAAGCTAGATGACTCATCTGTTTCTCTTCAGTTGTCTTGTCTCTGCTGGCAACTCTGCAAATGGTATCTCCAGTTTTCAGTCTAAACTGACATCATGAAACATGTCCCTAACAAGATTTCTCTGTTCTCTCAAAATTGCTGCTTTATTTCAGTATCATTGCTGTTTCCCGGTTATGTAAACACGGAACTTTGGCTGTTTCTCTAATTTATCTTTCTTTTATTCCCCATGTGAAGCCAGTGACTGAGTCCAACAGAATTTATTTTTGTAAAGTATTTCCTCCATCCCCTCCAACCTGGATGGCATCCTAGTCCAGGCCCTCCTCACTTCTTGTCCGATTGCCCATTTTTAATCTCTTAGCCCTTCTTGTTCATCTTGTAGTCTATTGCAAAACTCATCATCCTTAAGCACAGTTTTGATCCTGCTGCTTGAATGATTTAAAACCTTGAATAGATCTGTTTCCTGCCTTGTTGTCTAAACTCCTCCATTTGGTTTTCAAGGGTACCATCTGATCTTTTCCACCACTGCTTTGCAGCTTGTTCCTTCTGCCATTGTCAGGCCTGACAGACCACTGTGGCTGTGAACTGGCCATGCTTATACCTGCTTATGCTCTTCCCCTGGGTTTCAGGACCTCTCTTTTCTCCCTTTGGCTATATCTTCCATTATTTAGTGCCTAGAGCAAACCTAGTTACCTCCATGGGGCCTTTGGTTTTTCTGCTTCTGAAGATGACTCTTTTCTTCACTTCTGTGCTCATTCTGTCTGACCCTTCCGCACAGCAAGGAGTTCTATACTGTCATGATTGTACCTGGTTACATGTGTTGCATGCTAGTGTTGACTTCCTGGTCTGGGTAGAAAGCACATTTGCCTGTTTTGCCAACACAGTGCTGAGCACATACTAGAAAATTATGGAGTACAGATTAGCTGGTTAGGTTTTTTCCCCTGTGTGTACTAATACAAATTCAGAATTAGGGCTCTTGGAAGTCATTTCAGCAGCCCCTTTGCCTGTCACCTTTAAGACATGTTTAACAAATTATTTAGCCTCTAGTATGGGGATTTTCTAACCCTCAAGGTTGCCCATTTCATTTTAATTGTTAAAAACTTGAAACTTTACATTGAGCTAAAATCTCTCTCATTTCTATGCATTGGTTCTCATTCATACTTTTGATCATTAAATCCTTTTTGTCCAGGCAGTAGCAGTATCCAAAAGCAGTGCTCATGTTCTCTCTGGTTCATTTCTGCCATTATCTTCAGTTTTTCTTTTTTTAATATTACAAAGATTCAAGTCCCTTTATCATCCTGGTTATTCTCAGCTGGCATAGGTTTGACTGTTCATCTCTTACAGGTGGTTTACAGAGTATAATGCTCTTATTATTATTTTTTTTTTTCTTGAGGCGGAGTCTCACTCTGTCTCCCAGGCTGGAGTGCAATGGCATGATCTTGGCTCACTGCAACTGCCGCCTCCCAGGTTCAAGCTATTCTCTTGCCTCAGCCTTCTGAGTACCTGGGACTGCAGGCACGTGCCACCCATGCCTGGCTAATTTTTGTATTTTTAGTAGACGGGGTTTCTCCATTTTGGCCAGGCTGGTCTTGAACTCCTGACCTCAGGTGATCCACCTGCCTCAGCCTTCTGAAGTGCTGGGATCACAGGTGAGAGCCACTGTGTCCAGCCATATTTTTTTTAAAGAAATAGAAACGAGGCCTCCTTGTGTTGCCTAGGCTGGTCTCAAACTCCTGAGCTCAAGCAGAACTCTCGCCTCAGCCTCCCAAAGTGCTGGGATTACAGGTGTGAGCCATCCAAACCCGGCTGAGTACAATGTTCTAGATGTGATTTTATGATCTTTAAACTCTGTATAATATTATGTTTTCATTAAAATGTATTCAGACTGCATTGCATTTTTGAGAACTTGGTGATTTGCATTAAATCAGCTAAAATTCTTGAGTTTTTTTTTTTTTTTTTTTGCACGTTTACCTTTCATCTGTTTTTCTCATCCTGTACTTATTTGGGAGTGTTTGAATGCAATGCACAGAACTTTACATTTAAACCTGAAATTTCTTCATCTAAGATTTGCCTCATTATTTTTAATCTTTTAAGATTCTTTTGGATCTCAACTCTTACTATGGTATATTATCTCTGCAACTCAGCTTTTGGTCAGCTGCACATTTAATGAGCATATCCTGTGTGTTCTAAATACATTAATAAAAATATTGAACAGATAGACTCACAAAGCACATTGTCAGAGGATTTCCTTCAGGTCCACAGAGATTTTTAAATCTATCTACAAGTTCATGTATTGTATGAAATAACATTTCATATAATGCGAAATGGGAATAATAATGGTATATGGGAATAATAGTGGTACTTATCTCATAGGATTGTTATATTATGTGAATTGTTGTGATGTTATGATATTATATCACGTAACAATCCTATGAGATAGGTACCATTATTCCCATTTTATAATGAAGAAAGATTATCTTCGTAAGAAAGAAGACTATCTTGCACAGAAAGAAAGTATCTTACAATTAAAACAAAGATTTTATCTTGTGGTTCTGATATCACCTGACCCTTCATATGCATCTCATTTGGAAAACCAGTATTCCACAACACCACATTTATCATCTCAACTCTCAGCTTGAGTGGCCTTTCCTCTTTCACTCTAAAGCTTGAACCCAAAGATATCTAACAATAGAAAGCAACATTGCTCAACAGATTATTTTTTTTCTCCATTTCCTCTGTCTCTAAAGGAAGACTGTGTAAGAACTACAGGGACCAGGAGAACTTGGCATTAAGTTCAGGCCTCTCATGGTTTGCAGAAAATAGGAGAAACACCAGGAGATCAATAATGAGAAAATATGGCTTTGGTTTTCTAAAATGGGACAGAGATGTTGTTATAAAGCATATGGAATATGAGTTTGTTGTGTTCCACCGAAGATTCTAAGATATCAAATAGGTTGTTGGTAAGGTCACTGAGATCATATTATACCAGCCTAACTGTATTTTCTTTTCTGGATATTGACCAGACTGGAAAGGCAGATAAATGTCTGAAATAAAGACATACAAATATGCATCTGGGGTAATCTTTTAATCTTGGAGGGGAGAGTCTGGACAGCATGCCATGGCATTCACCACAAGGAGTAAATCTGACCTGTCAAGAAGCATGGCTGTGGTCAATTAAAATTCAGAAGAGTGGAAGGACACATTGATGCACGAGGTAAACTGAAGATTTTGCTTTGGGAATTAACTGTTATCTTTTCCATTCTCCATAGCATTATGCAGTTGCTTGGCGCATTTCCTTCACCTAGTGGTCCTGCCTCTCCTTGTAGTCTTGTGAATGAGACCACTTTGATTAAATACTCCAGGCTGCCAACCATAAACAAGCATAGTTTCCGGTACTTTGTCTTGGATAACAGTGTCATCCTGGCAATGCTGGAACAACCTCTTGGAAATGAGCAGAGTAAGTTTTAGTACTTTGAGCCTTCTCTACTTCTAAATCAGTGTTACCAGTACCGTGAAGCTGTTTCTAGGATCAGGGAAGGACAGACTACAGATTCTAAGCAGATCAAAAAGACTTCTAGGTGTGGGACAATAGCACCTGAAAAATAGGGAGCCAAAAAATAGAATCTACATATTAAGTAGAGTCTCTTAAAGGCTCTTTATATACATCTGAACTAGCTCTGTAGTTTTCTAAAAGGTGGCATTTTAGTGGGATACATTGTTTTATCTTTGTCACTTTTTCTTCCCCCTTGAACTTTGGATTCTGCCCCTCTACTCCCCTGCCTCTCACTCCTCATGTTCTATATCAGTTGTTGGTGCTACTTAACACAGGCTAGAAATTTGAGGAGTTATCTTTACTTGCTCCTTCCTGTTACTCCCTTATATAATTCGTTTCTAAGTTTCCATCTCCAAGTGCAGGACCTTATTATTTCTCACCTAAATTATCACAGTTGTTTCCTACCTACTCTGATTTCCCCAACCCCCAGACCCCTTGTCAGTTCCAACATATGTTTACCCTACTCCTATCCTACTTGCTGCCACCATAGTATTCATCCTCAACTACAAATGACCATGCCAGTGCCCTACCGAAAACTCTTCAGTGATTTTCCATTAACACAACATGCACGGTTTTCCTCCTTTCCCTCCCCCTCAGTTATAAGCCATCTCACAGTATGTGATTATCACTGGGACCCAAACTATTCAAAAGTATGTTTTGTTTTTTTTTTCTGATGGTAATTGGCATCAGCCACTATGTAAAAGAAGCATATTCTCAGAGGGGAAGGAAAGTGAAGGTTACAGAATTTGTGGGTATAAAGTGACCCAAGGAATCACCTGGTGTACAGTTTCCTTAGTTATGAGGGAAAAAGCTCAGGCTCACAGAGGGTATATTACTTGCCGAGGGTTACTTGGGACCAAAACCCACATTTTCTAAACCCTGTATTGTTGCTTTCTATTATTGTTGTCGCATAGTGATAGGACTTGCTGAGCGATTGAAGATTTGCCTTTTTCCCTTTTGTAAAGGTGAACAGAGTCCTGTGCCAATTTTGTTGATTATATGAGTAGGAGCTCATAAATCCGTAAAGTGAAAGTGAGACATTTCCCTGTAGTTTGAGTTGAAAGAATACCATCATAAATTTCCATTGTGTTGTGGTGAGATACCGTGACATTAATATGAAAAAGAATGGTGCCTTTTATTATTGCGTAACTCCAGAAGTGCTACTCCCAAGTCCTTTCTACAGGCATCTCATCCTTCCCTACCCTATACCTGGAGTTTGCTTGGCTTCCTTTCCTGGCCTGTGACTATTCGTGATTCCTCCAGCCTCCTACCCCCAAGCCATCTGCTGAGGGGTCTGCAAAATCCCAATGTCCCCTTCAGGCTTCCTGGCCTTTTTCTGGCTTTTTGAAGACTCTTCTACTTTCATTCCAAATAATTTCATTGCGTAGGAAGTTTACCAAAAATATAAGCAATTGGAATTGTATAGATTTACAAGGACATTTTAATAGTTTATAATAATAAGAAATTATAGAGAAGTTTGAAGATGTTTGACTCCCACACCTGAGACAGAAGAATAAAAAGAAGGATCTGGGTCACTCAGGAAGTTCATCCTGAGTTTTTTTTTACCCTCCCCCCTCACTGCACCCCTGAACTTCTGCTGAGATGGAGTAGTGCCTGCAAGGCATGGGCAGGTATAACACTAACACTGCAAACACCTGGTCTATCTTTCTGCACTTAAGTTGTGCCCAACATTGGGGGGTTAGGAGTATTTACTAGGTCAGTGTTTCCCACAAATGTGTACATGTACCACTGGAGGTATGTGATATGATCTTAGTTGATACATTAGTGAACATTATGTATTTTTAAGCATGTGCTTTAAAATTATATAATTAACATGCCAAAATTCCTGATTTTCCATTTAGAAAAATGATGCCCAAGAGTGGTTGATACAAAGTAGTAGTGCTTAGAGTACATGGGTATGGCAGAAACCACAGAGGTGGTACCCAAAGGATCAAAGCTTAGGAAGCACTGTTGGACCTTTGATTATGAGAAGCTGTGCAGTTGATATCAAGTTTATTTTTAATGGTTGTTGTCTAAAATTAAAACTTTTATATACACATTTTATTCTAGATGATTTTTTCCCCTCTGTCACTGTGCTGGTCCGGGGGATGTCTGGAAGACTTGCTTGGGCGCAACAGCTTTGTCTTTTACCCAGAGGAGCAAAAGCAAATCAGAAGGTATTCATCAGAAGTTACAGGGAAGTGTGTGTGTGTTTTGTAATTTAAAAGTTAGATACCATTCCAACAAAAACCGTAGATCAAATAAATATTTTTGATCCCTAGCCAGATTCTCTGTCAGTGGGTTCATGACAGAACCATCTAGTAACCTAGAATTCCAGATCTACTCAATTATTCTTTAAAGACATCTTCAAGGCAGGTATCTTTTCAAAAAGTTTTCCAGGTGAGATTCTGACATCTACTTAAGAATAATTGCTGTGTGGACAATGGCCCCAGTTTTTTTCCATGTAATTTTACATGTAATAAAAGTTAGATACAGGTATCGATTGACTTACGACCTATGCAACTTACGACCATTTGACTTTATGACCACAATCGCTAGCCACGACTGCTCCGCGTCTAGCAGCGCAAACATTGCCCAGCTGGCCGTACGACAGTGCGGACCAGCTTCCGGCAGCACTACCATCTCCACGTGTATATAGCCTACTCAACTTACGACCAAATCGTGTTACGACCGGTCTGTCTGAACCAATCGTGGTCATAAGTCGAGCACTAGCTGTATATACCATACATGAAATATTTGGTGAGACGTTTGATGTGTCCAGCAATAGGACTTAGTTTCAAATTAACTTCTATGATTTGTTTTTTTTTTTTTTTTTTTTTGAGACGGAGTTTGGCTCTTGTTACCCAGGCTGGAGTGCAATGGCGCGATCTCGGCTCACCACAACCTCCGCCTCCTGGGTTCAGGCAATTCTCCTGCCTCAGCCTCCTGAGTCGCTGGGATTACAGGCACGCGCCACCATGCCCAGCTAATTTTTTTTTTTTTTTTTGTAGTTTTAGTAGAGACGGGGTTTCACCATGTTGACCAGGATGATCTCGATCTCTTGACCTCGTGATCCACCCGCCTCGGCCTCCCAAAGTGCTGGGATTACAGGCGTGAGCCACCGCGCCCGGCCTATGATTTGTTCTTATATAATAATTGGTAATATGCTGTATATTTTTTATTTTATTTTTTAAAGAGACAGGGTCTTGTTCTGTTGCCCAGGCTGGAGTGCAGTGGTATGATTGTAGCTCACTGCATCCTCGAAGTCCTGGGCTCCAGTGATCCTCTTGCTTCAGCCTCAGGAGTAGCTGAGACTGTAGGCACATGCCATGGCACCCAGCTCATTTAAAAAAGTTTTTGTATAGGTAGGGTCTTGCTTTGTTGCCAGGCTGGTCCCAAACTCCTATCTTCAAGTGATCTTCTCACCTCAGCTTCCCAAAGTGTTAGGATTACAGATGTGAGCCACCACACCCAGCCTTATTTAAAAAAAAAAAACATATATATATATATATATATGCATGCTATGTATAATTTAATGAAATCTTTTGCTTTTGGGGGCGCACAGTTTATTTGCTTTATTACATTTGTAACTATGTGAATAATACTTGAAAAGTTGGGAATATAATGAAGAAATTTTAAATCACCTGTACTCACTATCCAGAGGAATATAACCACTGCTAATATTTTAGTGGATTTCGTTCCCATTTTTTTTCTTTTCATACACAATAACACTTGAATAGAATTTGAGTCATTTTGTATACTGCGCTTTTCACTTATAACATTGTAAGCTTTTACTTCTGCTACTAAAAATTAAAAATATGACTTAATATTTCACCAGCATTTGAGAGACACCACAAAATTGGAGCATGTACCTAAAGCCATTTAATATCCTAGATGTCTCTGTTAGATGTGCTTATCACCCAGTGAGGAGCACTCTTCTATTTTCTGTTGAGGGTGTTGTGCAGATTACATTCTGTTAGCAACTTTGTAAGCTAGTAAGTTAGCACTGAAGACTGAAGAGGAAGAGGACCAGGAAAGGAGCTAAAATTTGTTCAGGGTTCATTGTCTACCCATATACATATTAAAAGCATGGATTTGGAGCTATGAAGACCTAGATTTGCTACCCATACTCTCTTAAACCATACTAAGGTTCTTGCTGAAATCACTTTGTAGAGATGCCCAGTGAGACCAGACTTGTACTTTATTATATGGAATGATGTGAGAGCCCCTTGGGAAGAAAGTTTGAATCTTAAAGCTCCAAAATGCTTTACCCACTGGATTACCACCGAATATGGGAGATTCAGATCTGTTGCAGTAGAGGTCCACAGCCTATTTTTCAGTCATGAGGGCTATGAGAAGTCGATGAATAGTTTTAGAAAAATAGAATATACAGGGACACAGGCTGCTTACCTTTCCTGTTATCTGTAGCATTTGCAGATTTCAGTGAGTTTTTGTGACATGTAATCCAAGGGAAACACAGGCATCTAAGAGACCAGGGAAATACATGTCATTATGGATGGGTCTTAGACCCTATGTAATAAACATAATGTTACTTGTTTTAACAGCTTTTTGTGCCTGAACCTCGCCCAGTTCCTAAAAATGATGTTGGATTTAAATATTCTGTGAAACATCGGCCATTTCCTGAAGAGGTGGACAAGATTCCTTTTGTGAAAGCAGATCTCAGCATTCCAGATTTGCATGAAATAGTCACTGAAGAAGTAAGTACATTATTTTTAGCTGTTGTTAAGGGAATGAATAGAAATATTCTTAAATGACTTCCATGGTCAAGACAATGCCTTTAGTGTTGTTGATTCTTAAGATGACAAGGGTCTCTGTCATCCAGGAGGTTACCATGTTTCAGACAAATACAGATTGTGGCTGATCAAAAGGAACTGCACATCTCTTAGTGAGAGGTGTCATTGGGCTGCCTGGCTGTTCATGGTAGGTTTCAGTAAAGCAGTGACATGATCAGACTCTGGTAGTATAGTTATTTGGTGAAGGAAGACCAGTTCAGAGACTATTATGACAATCCAATTCCTTATAAGAAAGGAAGGACTGTTTCACTGATATGAAAGTTTAATATATAAAATGTATTGTGGAGATAGATCCAAGCACTCTTGAATTGATGAGGGAAGGAAAAGAGCCAAAGAATTTTAGATTTTGAGCTTGAGTGACAAAGAGATATCAGTGCGATTTACAGAAATATAGACATTAGGAAGAGGATAGTTTGGGGAAGATGGGAAAAATTTATTTGTCTTTAGATTAATTTAGAGAGTGAATTAGATAATTGGCCTCTTAGGTCAGGGGAAAAGAATTTTAAGAAGTTGAGGACAGAGGTATGTCAGGACATGAGAGAATAGAAGAGCAGGAATGGAGGAAGGGCCACACTCCAGTGCTGGAGAGATCAGGGAGAAGAAGGAATAGAAAAAGTCCCCTGGATTTTGGCATGAAATTGTAGGTGACCTTTGAGAACAGGTGTGTATAGTAGGAGGCAGAGTTCAAAGGACTGGGGAGTGAATGTATTGAGGGACAGGCAGTGAATAGAAACTATACTGTTAACAGTAAACGGAAGGGTAATGGGTAATATTATAGCTTGAGGAAATGGCCTCATTAAGGAAAGAAAGGCTAGTTTTTTTTTGTTTTGTTTTTGTTTTTGTTTTTGTTTTTTTTTTGAGACAGAGTTTCGATATTGTTGTCTAGGCCGGAGTGTAACTGGGCGTTTTTGGCTCACTGCAACCTCTGCCTCCCAGGTTTAAGCAATTCTTCTGCCTCAGCCTCTCAAGTGGCTGGGATTACAGGCGCCCGCCACCATGCCTGACTGAGGTGATCCGCCCGCCTTGGCCTCCCAAAGTGCTGAGATTATAGGCGTGAGCTATCACACCTGGCCAGAAAAGGCTAGTTTTTAATATTTTTTTACATTCAAGGATGAGAATAGGAACATGCTTATAGCTTGACAGGAAGGAACCAGTAGAAAGGGGTCTGGCTAACACTGTAAGATGGGCAGTGGAACTTACAAGTAATAGAGGCAGTAGGATCAAGTCTAGTCTAGAGAAAGGAGCTTCTAAGACAGAAGGAGAGAGTAGGTGAAGGTTTAGAGACACTTAGAGAGGAAAGGAGGGTAATTGAAGAATCTTATGAAAATTGTAATTCTGGTTCTTGGTAGTGTAATAGGGGATCCAAGACAATTCTTAAGAATTACCGGGCAGTCCAGCTGAGGTTAAGTATAGTGTCTATAGTGAAGTTAACTCACTCTGCTGGCTTTCTTCAAAAGTCCTTGGGATCTGGGAGCATAAGTAAAGAATTTAGTGTGGAGATTCACAGATATGGACGTTTGGAAGGAGAAGGTTCAACACAGCCATTTAATGTGCTGAAGGAGAGGGTATTTAGCTGTTAGATATGGGGGGCTTTGGCTTAGTTGGGAAGTAGATGAAGCCAGAAGGTTGCTAATGGGTTGGGAAAGCAGGGGGAGAGGTTGAGTGCGCCATAGTGACGGTAGAGCACTAGCTTAGGGAGGGAAGGGATAGGAGCCGCACAAGGGCACTTATGATTGGAGAGTGAATTTCAGACTTACAGCCCTGGAAAGCAGAGCACAGCTCAGGTTCAAGTTTGTTTTCGTGGATGGCCAAAGTTGTGAAGGCTAAGGAGCTTGTAGAATTCTGAGCCAGGTTGTTAGAAGGATCATCACTCATCAGGGGATGGAATTTTAAACAAGGATTGATGGAAGGAAAAGAGGAAAGGTGGGAGGAGTCTCTAAGAGTACAGTCATGTCATCCATACGGAAGAGGATTTCAAAACGTAAAGAGCATGTCAGGGTGAATAAAGATGGACGGTGATCTGGAAGGGAGGGGTGGGAGCAACAGCTCTGCCCCTGCCCCCTTTCTTGCCTATTTGAAGGGGAACAGAGACTGAATGTTTTCATTTACAGTGAAGACATGAAAGAGCAATTGTTGATGGTATAGGGAAGTTCTTTTGGCATTTGTTTTAACCTTGAACCATGTTTGCTTAATTGTATACTCTATATTGAACTGAATCACAATATTCATCACTGAAAATTATCTTCATTTTCTTTTTTGCTTGTACCTTTATTTTTATTTTAAAATTAAGATTGACTTAGGTGCATTGGGGCTCATGCCTGTAATCTTAGCACTTTGGGAGCCTTAGGCAGGAGGATCACTTGAGCCCAGGAGTTCAAGAACATCTTGGTCAACAGAGAGAGACCCCTGTCTCAAAAATAAAAAAAGTTAAGATTGGCCTTGTTAGTTTGATAATAGTTTCAAACAATGAAACATCTGGTTTATTTCAGTTAGAAGAAAGACATGAAAAATTAAGGAGTGGCATGGCCCAGCAGATTGCTTATGAAATACACCTTGAGCAACAGAGTGAGGAGGAATTGCAGAAGAGAAGTTTTCCTGACCCAGTTACGGATTGCAAGCCACCACCTCCTGCCCAGGAATTCCAGACAGCCCGCCTTTTCCTCTCACACTTTGGATTTTTGTCCTTAGAAGCATTGAAGGTAATTTTCGTGAACTTTTATGAATGAATATATTCACAAGTTAATGTGCAGCTGACAAGAGCTAAAATATTTTTATGAGGATAGAAGCAAATTAAAAAAAAAAAAAACTGGTTAAAATTTTACCCTGCATACAAATAAATGAAACTCTGTGCTGCTGTAGGTTATAGTTTGTGGTACAGGATAGGTCACCCCATGAATGCATTCAGAGTTCTTCTGTCTGCGGGAACTACTTTGATAATACATCTAACTTTGAATTTTCCTAGATAATGCAGGACCCATATTATACAGATAAATGAAATCTATACGTAATTAGAAAAAGAATGTTAAAAATCTTCCCTTAGTAAGTGTTATTACTAAAAATATAAGCTGCAATTTACTTTGCTCTTTCATGCCACGTTTAAAAAGGAATGAAGTTAATACTGTAGTATTTGTAAGCCAAGCACTTCTTAAGTTGTCCAGTTTGTGAGATCAAACTATCTGGCTTTATGTCCTGGAATCACTGCTTGCCAGCTAGGTGGTCTTTGGTCAGTTAGTTACCTTGTCTTAGTTCCTCATCATCTGTAAAGTGAGGATGATAAAAGTGTTCATCTCATTGATCATGTGAAGATTAAATGTGTTAACTTGTGGAAGATACTTGGTATAGTATTTAGCACAAAGTAAGCCAGGCTATAATATTGCCATTATTCTTAATTCCATTAGCCTTCAAACAATTTTACAGCCAGGTGCAGTGGCTCATGCCTATAATCCAGCACTTTGGGAGGCCAAGGCAGGAGGATCACTTGAAACCAGGAGTTCAAGACCAGCCTGGGCAACATAGCGAGATCCCATCTCTACAAAAAAATTGTTTTTAAAAATTAGTTGGGTGTGGTGGCATGCATATAGTCCTAGTGTCTCAGGAGTCTGAGGCATGAGGATTGCTTGAGCCCAAGAGTTCCAGGTTACAGTGAGTTATGGTTACTCCATTCCACTCCAGTGTGGTTGACAGAGTGAGACCCTGTCTCTTGGAAAACAAAAAAATTTACAAGACAAGGGATGTTATTCCTGTTTTATGGATGTGGACATAGAGGCTCAAAAATGTGAAATAACTTGTTTGGAGGTGGACTTGGAGTCTATTGTAAGTCCTGTTTGTTTTGAAAAGTACAACTGGAGATTGCCAAGCAAGAAGTTGCTTATTCTGTAAGTTGTCCCATGCGCTTACTCCCTAGGAACTACCTGGTTACAGGCCATTTAACTTTGTAGGAAAGTAGGGAGACATTGCTGTTTGATTTCATATTTCAGCATGTAGAGGGAAAATATTTTTCACTGTAGAAAATTGAGTTTGATGCAGCATATGAACATAAAAACTTAAAATGCAGAATAAAAGAGCAGAGAGAGGAAAATTATAAGAACTATAGTGGTAAATATGGAAGGCAAAGAAAAAAGGCATAGCCTGCAAGTGATTAGAGATATTTCTAGTGGAGAAAATTGAACAGAGTAGAAGCAGTAAATAAAAATATAATAAAAGAAAATTAATCCTTCCTGTGGACTGCAGGGAGACAAGAAAGGCCCTAATAGCCTTGTCTCTGAGTTTATAGTTTTCCACTCTTGTTATCTATTCTAGTTGAAACTTTTAAGCTTTTCAGGAAGTAATTCTCATGCTTTCTCATCTGCATGAGAACATAGGAAAAAAGAAGTTACCTGGTTTATTTTATGAACCTTAGCATATTTCTAATAACTTAAACCTGATAGCTCATACATACAAAACTACAAACCAGTCTTACTTATGAATATATGTACAAAAGAATTAAAGGGAATGCTAAGCAAACTGAATTCTGAACTAATAGCATGTTAAGTGAATTGTCTACCATGATCAAGTAAGGTTTATGTCAGGAACTCAACAACTAATTATTGGGAAATATTAATAAAGCTATTAAGAAAATAATTTGTTCCTATTAGCAGGTCAGTCAATGAAACAGTAAGTTAGTATTTACTAGAAAATATATTCTGATTTTTAAAAAATACAAACTAAGCACTACTAGTGTAGGTTCTTACTTTAAAAGATTTCTGTAAATAACACAGGAGTAAACCAGAGGAATCTTTTGTTAAAATCAGAGGTAAGGGTTATCCACCTTGATGACTATTTAACAATGAGAATTTCTTAGCCAATGCAGTTTTTTAAACTTTCTAGTTTTAAATAATTATAGATTAGCAGAAAATTGCAAAATAAAGATATGACGACCTTCCCACGATGACAAATTCTTATGTAATGACAGTACAGTATCAAAATGAGGAAAGTCAATGAAATGTTAAACTAAGAGGTAAAAATCATTGGAAATTGAAGGCGGTTTGTAGGTAATATGACTCCTAGTTAGACAACCATAAGAAAATCAATAAAATATTTAAAATAAATGAGAGTTAAGATTGCCATACAAAAAAGTACAAAAATTAATGATTATCTCTATGATATTCACTTAAAAATACAATGCAAAAATGCACCATTTACAGCTGTAATACTGACAAAAGCTACCTTAACAAACTATGTACAAGACCTAGAGGAGGAAACTTTTAAAAATTATTAAGAGATACAAAATATGTGTATGTTATATTCCTGGATTAGAAGATCATACAGAAGAACAAGCTGAGGAAATACCTTATTTAAAAAAAAAAAAAAAAGATGAGGATATTCTGGCCTATAAGGTGTATTGCAGCATGCTTGAGGTCCACAGTTCCTTATCCATAATTTCAAAGTAAAAACTGAAAACTGGAAAATTTTTTATATATTTGTAGTAAATTCACTTAGTGGCAAAGTTGGACCTAAACTGACATAAGGCCATTTGTAATTTTATGTCACTTAGTGTGAATACACTTCGGTTTGACTGCAGAAATATTAATGTCTTTTATAGAATATTGCCATAAACCTTGCTAGGAATGTTATGTAATTGACTAGAAGACTAGGCTCACAATCCTTGCCAGGGTGAAAGACAATCATTCTTGCTTTCTCTGGAGGATGCTTTCCTAAAAGACACTGTGGTTAGCAAAACCTTGTTTGGCAAGATCAAGATCTCAAAGAAGATAGGGGTTTAAGAGGAAAACAAAACAAAAATGCATTTTTGAAAAATTTGTAGACTTAATTGTGTTAGAGAAGATTTAGGTTTTCAGAACAATTGGCAGAAAGGGTAGAGCTGTCATACACCTTCCCCACAGCCCAGTTTCCCCTGTTACCAACATCTTGCATTGATGTGATGTATTTGTTATGATTGATGAACCTATGTTGGTGCATTGCTGACTGAAGTTGGTGATTTACAATAGGGTTCACTCTGTGCTGTACAGGTCTCTGGGGTTTGACAAGTGTGTAATGACATGTGTCCATCATTACAGTGTTATACAAATAGTTTTACTGCCCTGAAAATCCACCTCTTCATCCCTCCCTCCTCACTCCCCACTCAACCCATATCAACCACTGGTCTTTGTACCGTTTCTCTATAGTTGTACCTTTTTCAGAATGTCATATATTTGGAATCATACAGTATGTAGTCCTGTCACACTGGCTTTTTTCACTTTTATCAATATGCATTTAAGGTTCCTTCGTATGTCTTTTTGACTCGATGGTTTATTTCTTTTTATTGCTGAATAGTACTCCATTGTATGGATATACCACAGTTGATTTATCCATTCACCTATTGAAAAACATCTTGGTTGCTTCTACATTTTGGTTATTATGAATAAAACTGCTGTAAACATTTGTGTGCATGCTTTTGTGTGGATGTATGTGGGAAAATAGGACCAAGGTGTGCAGTTACTGCATTGCATGGTAAGCCTATGTTTGGCTTTGTAAGAAATGGCCAAACTGTCTTCCAAAGTAGCTAGACCATGAATGAGAAAAAAGGTATATTAAAAGTAAGTTCTGGAAAGCACAATATTATAGAGAAAACAGGATTCAAATTTATATACACATATAATCTCAGTTGTCTTTAATTTTTAAAAAGGCAAATAAAAGAACTAAAAGGAAATATGTTAAATAATTTCTTGAAGATTATGGTTGTGTTTATTCCTACCATTCTATATTTTTAAACTTAATTTTTATTAAACCATGAGCAAGTACTGTTTTTATAATTACAACAGTGAAAATAGGTAGTAATTGCTCCTTTCTACTTTTGGTGGCAGGAACCTCCAAATAGTCGTCTACCTCCTCACCTTATTGCACTTGATTCCACGATACCGGGGTTTTTTGATGACATTGGGTATCTGGATCTCTTGCCATGTCGTCCTTTTGACACAGTTTTTATTTTCTATATGAAGCCAGGTCAGAAAACGAACCAAGAGGTAAGAATTATGGAATTATTTTTTGGTAATTTTTTGTGCTATAAATTTATACATCTAAAGAAAATAGATGAGGCAAAATTAATATGGAGAGTTTATTTGAGCCAAAATTGAGGACTGCAGCCTGGGAAATGCTGGAGAGTGCTTCCAGGAACAAAGGAGGGGCTCACGTGTTTAAAGATAAAAAGGGTGAGTCAGTAGAGCGGAACAAAAGTTGTTTTTTAGGAATTCTCATTGGTTTACAGAAATAACATTGATTAGTGAGTGGATAAAAAATATTGAACTGTAGGGTATGAGTTATCATGTCAAGCACTGTTAGATTAGTTTATGAACTATTGGTGGCAAAATGACTGGCTTATTACCATGCTGAACCTCAGTAAAATTGGATTAATTATAGAGATTGGGAATCTGTTTTGAAGTAAGTCAGTGCATTGTTTGTATGAGAATAATGAAGCCACTTTTCTCCTACCTGTACAAGAAGACATAAACCCTTGAGGCACTTCCTAACCCAGTTCAGTTTCCTTAGGTTTTTAGAAGCTGAGGGTGACTAGGAATCAAGGAATATTTCCTGAGACCTCCTTTGGAATGTCTCAGACCTGCCTTCCCTAGCCACAGGGTAGATTAAGATTAATTTCTGGCTGCCAGCAAGTGGCATGCAAGTTGCATTTGATTCACTTATTGCTTCTTGACTAAATTTTCAGAAATTGTTTATTTAAAAGTATTACTTCTAGGTGAAAATTTGAATTGCAATAACTAGAAGTGGTTGTTAAGTCAGTTTCTTGGCACTCATAAGAATATGAAGGGATATGGGTAAACTAAATGGGTTCACGTCTAAAGAGACTGGTTTTGTGTTTAAGAGGTGATGACCTTGCAATGACTTGCAGTGGGTTTAGATGCAATGGATGTAGCTTCCTATATTTTGACTTTCACAGGCCTCTGTAGGATCTTGGCATAGATTAGCATTGTGTGAATGACATCAGTGATCTGTGGACTGGCTGCATCACAGTCATTTGGAGGAATTTTTAGAAATAGTGATTCCAGGATTCTGCCTTCACTGATTTTAGTGTAGAAGGTCTAGAGCCGGCGAAGAGAACCTTATTTTTAGGAGATTTCCCAGATGATTTTGATATACCCTGCTCTCCACCCTCCCCCTTTCGTTTTTAATTTGGAAAGGAATTCTTTGTTTTCCTTTCTTTAGAAGTGAATTTTTCAAGAGCAGCACTATTGCCATCTTGGGCCGGATAAGTTCTTTGTTGTGGGGACTGTCCTGTGTATTTTAGAATATTTAGCAGCATCTTTGGCCTCTACCACAAGATATTTGTAGTGTGCCTCACCAGTTATGACAACCAAAAATGTCTCCAAGTGTTGGATGTCCACTGAAGAGTAAAATCACCCCAGATGAGAATCACTGTTTTAGAATGAGGGACTCTTGGTGAGGCCTATCGAAAGCCCACACATTACATTAGTGCTTAGTGAAGAGGAGAGAACTTTCTGGTCACTTCATTTTTCCTGGAATTCTCTTCTTTGGCCTAAGAAAAGGATATTTTCATACCCATTTATTAATTACACATGTTTATTGAATTTTAGTAGGTTTTATAGCATTTTTCAAGATCTATAATTAAGTAATTGCATACCTGTGTAATATTTTTCACTAACCAGACAGTAAACTCTGTGAAGGCAGGGACACAGCGTCTGTTAGTAAACATGCCTGGTTCAGTAATTGTTTTGCCAGGAAGAGAGCTCAGAGCTTTACTTGCATTACTTCACAACCATTATTATTATCTCCACTTTATGAATTAAGAAACTGAGGCAGTGGGGCTAAAAAACTTGCCCAAGTCTCAGCCAATCCAAATCTGTCTAAATCAGAATGCATTTTTCTCTATAGCGATATATCCTTAAGTTTATTCTGAGCTTGGACATGATTTGTCAGAAGCTTCAAAGGCTAACCAATTTTTATGAAGATTTATTTTGATACGTTCTTTTGTTTCCTTCATTATAGCTGATGATTGGTATGTATTTCAGATTTTAAAGAATGTGGAGTCTTCCAGAACTGTTCAGCCCCATTTCCTAGAATTTTTGCTTTCCCTTGGCTGGTCAGTTGATGTGGGCAGACACCCTGGTTGGACTGGGCATGTTTCCACCAGTTGGTCTATTAATTGTTGTGATGATGGTGAAGGATCTCAACAAGGTAAAACTCACAATGTTTCATATGTCAGTTGTTTCTTGTTTTGTTAGTCTTGATTATTTCCCCCCTTTACTATGATTTATAGTCTTGTTAAAAACACAAAACCAGCCTCGGTACAGTGGCTCATGCCTGTCTTTGGAAAGCCAAGGTGGGAGGATCGGCTGAGGCTGGGAGTTCAAGAGCAGCCTGGGCAACATAGCGATGCACCATCTCTGCAAAAAATGGAAACATTTGCTAAGCTTGAGGGGGCATGCACTTGTAGTCCTACCTGCTCAGGAAGCTGAGGCGGGAAGATCACTTGGGGCCAGGAGCTGGAGCTATGATCATGCCACCGCATTCCAGCCTGGGTGACAGAGCAACTCCCTGTCTAAAAAACAAAAAACCAAACAGACAAGTAGAAGTACATAAAGGAAAATGATCCTTACCCTAATCCCAGTCCTGATAGGGTAACTTAGTAATAGTTTATATATTCTTCTAGACATTTTCACTGTGTATGAAAGATACATATACACGTAATGATAGAGTTAATTAACACAAAATGACTGGCTTATTACCATGCTGATAATTTCCTTTTTTGTAATATGAGTAAGATTCAGTTTTCTATACAAATGTTGTAATAAATATTGGTCATCCATACAAAACGATACAGCTTCCTAACAAGCATGTTTTGTCTAATAAGTAGTTTTCTATTAACCAGTCTGTTTTATCAACTGTGGCTGTCAAAAGAGTCACATTTAAAGGTTACATTCTTGGGATATTATACCAAAACCTTTGTGGTAAACAGCTAATCATCTCTGAGAATTTTTTGCCCATTCTGAGAAACTAATCAGAATAACACATACCAGAGCAAGTATAAATTTAAACTTAAGACCTTTGCCCCACCTGGCTAATGCTTTCTGTTCCTGGGTTCCTGAGGTCACTGGAAAATTAATATTACTTCTCTAAAGTGGTTAATGCCTATGTCCAGTGCACATTTTTCATTTTGATAAGTATGTCAATTGGATACTTATGGTTGCAAGTATCAGAAAACATGACCCAAACTGCCTTAGATTTTGAAAGTTATTTATTGCCCATGTAACTGAAAATTCCAGAGGTTAGTTAAGTTTTTGGTGTCATTTGATCAGCATTCCTGTTTTATTTCTCTCAACTTTCCTTTAGCTTTGCTCTCTGTATTTTGACTTTTCCCCAGCTTGGCTTCTCTCATAGTGCAGAAAGGCAATTCCAGACTTTACATCCACATACCACAGCAGCCTGAAGAGGATAGATTAGCTAGATCTCAGAACCCCCTCCTCCCCAAATCCAGAACTACATAGCAATTGGACTATCCCAAGCCTGTCCTTATGGCAAGAAAGATAGAATGACTCTGGTGGAGAGATACAGACAGGATAGAACTAGTATCGAATCAGTCCCACCTGCACATTTTGCCTGCTGCAGAACAGGGGTGAATAGAGTGGCTGTTGGGATAGTAACCACAGCGTCTGCTACAGCAGATACAAAGTACCTGCCTGGAGTCCACACTAGGAGTCAGAAAACTAAAGCTCATTCCTGTTTTTGTAAATAAAGTTTTATTGGAACTCGATCACACTCCATTTTACACATTGTCTATGACAACAGCTTTCATGCTACAATGGCAGAATTGAGTAGCTGTGGCAAAGACCTTCCTACCACACCTAAAACATTAACTGTATGGTCCTTTACAGAAAAAGTTTGCTAACCTCTGGTTTAAGCTTTCTATTTGCCATACCTTCACCAGCATTAAGTATCTTCCAGATTTTTAGGTGAGAAATTTTTAACTTTCAATAATGGTTGAGCATATCTTATCATATTTTTATTTCCTGAGAAGTACTGGCTCATTTCCCTGCCCAATTTTGGTCAGATTGTTGGTCTTTTATGTATTACTGGTAGGACACTGAGTTCATTTTAATTGAGAACTATATAGCTCTCATGAGCATTTCTTTTGTTTATTCAGTCTTCCTACCCTAGAGCAGATACTATTACCAAAACTGCCTGTACGTTTTTATACAATGTCACTGACCATTGAGGAAGGTGGAGCATAGGCCAATATGAGGAGCCATAGAGAGAGACCAGGGATAGAAATGTCTTGAAAGCAAGAGTCCAGAGACCACATGCACATGGGCACTCTCTCTCTCCTCCCTCTCTCTCCCTTCCCCTCCGCTTCACCTTCCTCCTGCTGCTTCTGCTGCTGCTGCTGCTGCTGCTGCCGCTGCTGCTGCTGCTTTCTTCTTTCTCCTTTCTTCCCTCTTCTCTCTCTCTGCCTCTGCCTGCTTGCCTCTCTGGCCCAGCTCCCTTCTGAGGGACTGGGCTGGTCTTCCTTTTGATTATTTATCTACCTGATCCAAAGGACTGGTCCCTTAATCTGCCTCATAAATTAAAAGCCCTGCTAATCAGAAATGGTCTGATATATAGCTGTTTCAGAAATGATGAAATTAAGATTTTTTGATTTAAAAATAAAGACATTTAAAAGCATTATATTTTCTTTCACACTAATTGTTTCTTGTTAGAAACATATGTTTTATTTATCACTTTATTAGCCAGTTAACATTTCATGTAGCAAGATGATACTGGTTTTTTTCTACTTTTTGAAGCAGTAATGTAGTTTCTTTTTCCTAGAAGAAGTGATTCCCTCTGAAGATATTGGAGCTAGCATTTTCAATGGACAGAAGAAGGTGCTGTATTATGCTGATGCCCTTACGGAAATAGCTTTTGTGGTTCCTTCTCCTGTGGAGTCCTTAAGTAAGAGCATTTTCTGCATGGTCCTATTTTAGGATCTATTTTTATATTCCTGGGTTGTGGGATATTACTGCATTGGAAGAGATTTTGAAGTGATCTGAGGCATTCTCTAGCTTCTAAGGCATTATAACAGATTATGCAGAAGTACAAGATATCTTCTCTTAAGTTTCTTACAGAAAGTAGTTAAAGACAAGCAAACTGACCCTCTAATAATCTTTAAATATTGAAGGAATCCCACTTCAACCCATATTTTGCATTCTTTAATTAGTTTAATCAATACATAGTCTTATTTTCCAGTTCATTTCTTTCTCCAATTACGAGTGATCCCCCACCTACTCTCTATTTCCATATGAGAGCCTTTGCATGGAACCACATAGAATCCTACAACTTAGAAGGATCTCATGATAGCATCTGGCCATTCTTCTAACACTGAGCAAGAGAAACTTTTAAGTAGCCTAGAAAAGATGGTGGTCAAGAATTTGCTTTTTAAGGATTGGGAGTGATTATTACTTCTTAGTCTGAACTCACAGTTTTGTTTTGCCCAGAACCTTTGCTTTTTGCAAATTAAGCCTGTTTCTTCATGTCTGACCAAGCAGGTGGTCAGGCAGTAGGTAGAAAACTTCAGCTTCTTCTTTGAGATCATTTGTAGGATGGAATACAATACATCAGGATTTCACAGTCTCATCTCCAGACTAATGACTTTTGTTGTGCCCTACCTTGGTAGCTTCCTAACCTTTGTACTTTGACCCTTGATTTCTCACTCTAGGCCCCTCCCTGTCTTACTCTCTGGGGCCAGCTGTATCCCTGGAAGGTTGGACCTTCCATGGTTTAGATTTGTATTATAGCAGCTATTGGGCTTCCTGTCAAAGTTTTGGTTTACTACTATAATTCCAGAAGCCAGAACCTGTCCTTCCTCTTTGAGGACATACCTGCCTGGCTTCTCTGGCCTAGCCTGTTAGTACCAGACAAGTCCTCCCAGAGCTAGAGCCTTGTCCTTTCACTGTAGCTCCTGCAATTGGGTCTTTGTCTTCTGTTGTGAAACATCCCCTATGCCAAATGTGTCCACTCCAGTGCCAGCTCAGCTTCCTCCTATTTCTGATACTTGGGGTTTGGTGTTTTTTGTTTTTGTTTTTGGATGGGGTAGAGGATAACTTCCTGTGTGCTTATCTCCAACCAGATTGCTCTTAATCACAGAGACTTGGTCTGCTGTAGCTTCTGGATGTCTCAGTGCCTATTTGGCACAAAGCTACGTGATTGAATGTGTAATCAAAATATTTCAGAGAGTAATAGTGGCATTTATTACATTCCACATCTGAAAAGTCAAATATTTTCTAGTCTTATTTTAGTTATCTGTAGAGCAGGAGCTGGCAAACTACAGTGGCACAAGCCAAATGCAGCCAAGAATGGATTTTACATTCTTAAAGGGTTACAAATAAAATACAAAGAAGAATATGCAAGAGATCTGTATGGCCAGCAAAGCCTAAAATACTTAGTACTGAAGTTCATCAGCTCTTGCTCTAGAAGCAATGCTTTAAGTGACTTAAGTGAGACTGGTGAGCATAATTAGTTTTAACACTCTTGCTCCGAATAAGTGATATGTATTATAGTTGCTTTTTTCATTTACCCTGTAGCTGATTCATTGGAAAGTAACATCTCAGATCAAGATAGTGATTCAAATATGGATCTTATGCCAGGAATTCTGAAACAGCCATCCCTGACACTTGAGCTTTTCCCCAATCATACAGACAATCTTAATTCCTCACAGAGGGTAAGTTACTTTGCTGATATGTCTCCAAAATTTTGTAGTGGAATGGGGGTAATTAAAGAATCTTGCCTGGAAAGCTTTTAACTTTAACCCAGAGAGTAATGATATTAGAGTACTGATTCCTTAGTAACGTAATTTTTAAAAATAAAATTCTCACAATTTTTTCTCTTTTTCAGCCTGCAACAAATAGTTCATTCTGAGACAACCTTTGTAGTTTCTCTTGATTTCACCATTCTGGTCCCATCTCTCTCACCTGTTCCTTTTTAAGCCTAGGTTTAAAATTTGTCCCTGAATATCCGCTAAAGTTATTGTAGTAACTACGTGGTTTTTTTGTCTTTAATCTTATAATGTTCATCTTAAACAAGTCTGACCATATAAAAATAGGAACATTTTGGAGAATAACTCAGTATGTGGATAGATATTCTGAGTGAGGAACACAGCTCCTGCTACAAGAAGAGCTTTTTGCTTATATCTTTTTTCTGACCTTATCGATTGTTACTTCTTTATCTGTGGTTTACTCTCATGTTGTCTCTTCATCTTTACTGAAAAGGATACCCATAAGTGATAGCAAAAGTACAGGATCAGATCAGAAGTGTAGGAAGATTGACTTAGAACAAATCATAACAAAGACGGAAGTGTCAGCTTGATAAAAGGTGTTCCTCCATTGTGCAGGATTTTAGGTTGGCTTTCTTCCAAAGTGAGAATTATTTTTAATGTAAGTATATGCCTCAAAGAGAATACAGGGAAGTTTTTACCTTTAAAATTTATTTAGGAAAAAAATGCCAGGTGGTGTAATAGTCCCTGGAGTAGACTGATTTGAAAATTAGGAGTTTTTAAAAGGTTTGTACAGAATACAGTTTAGAGATGAGCAGTCAGTATTGCATGGCAATGCAATATTTTAGCTAAATCTAATACTTAAAAATTTTTTTTATTTGAGATTTGTTTGTGGACAGATCTAGTATTCAGTGATTAGCTGCCTTTATACTCATTTTCTGAATGACAGCATAGTTATTCCTCAGAACCCAGATAAAACACCATGTTTTTATTTCTCACTTATACTATAGTTTGCAGACACTAACAAACTAAAAAAGAAAAAGAAGAAAAATCATATGGTTATCTCAGTAGATTGGGGAAAAAGCAGTTGACAAAAATTCAATACTCGTTTATGAGAAAAGTTCTCAGCCAACTATGAATAGAACTTTCTCAAGTGGATACAGAGCATCTATTTAAAACCTATAGCTTAGGATTATACTTACACATTATACATTATTATTGAATGCTTTTCTTCTGAGATGGAGGACCAGGCAAGGATGTCTGTTTTCACCACTTCCATTCAACATGGTAGAGGAGGGCCTACACAGAGAAATAAGACAAAAGGAGCTACAGTACATAAAGATTAGAAACAAAGAGGTAGAACTGTATGTATTTGCAGATGACATGATCATGTAAGTAGAAAACCCTGAGGAATCTTTTTTTCAAATCCGCTAGAACTGTTGAGGTGAGTTTAGCAAGATTGTAGGAAAAAAGTCAGGGTGTTGGGTAAAATTTTAAGATAATCCCCCGTGACCTTTGCCTGTGTATAATGTCCTCTCCTGTGACTATGATAAGATATCCACGATTATGGTACATTATTTGGCAAAGGAATTCTGTGGGTTTAATTAGGTCATTTTGACTTAATCAAAAGGGAGATTTTCCAGGTAGACCTGACCTAATCACAGGAGCTCTTTAAGTCTTGGGTTAGAGGTCAGAGATGGAAGAAGTCAGAAAGTCAAAGCTGATTAGGAGTCTTGATGCTAAGAAAGTAGTCTGTGAATGTGGCCCGAGGTCTGTCACTAGTTTGGGAGAAATCTCTTGCTCCTGCCATTTTCTGTGACTGTCAGAGTAGATAAAAGCATCTGGGGACTTGTCATGGAGTCTGGTCATCTGGTAAAGACATGTTTATTTCTGTGCTAATAAAGCAGTTTTAATTTTAAAATTCACCCAAAGTATGAGATTCTCCCCTCTGTACACATAAGCTCTGATTAGGACTTTAGCCTAAACTTAGCTCTGCTGCATGCCTCTGAAGAGGTGCAGCTCAGAGTTCCAGTTTGCTAAAGGAGAGCCGCATAGTCCTGTGGGCCTTGTAGTGAAACTTTGAGTTGATTAGGATGGCGGGAAGCCAGAAAGAAGCACACTGCATGGTAACAAAGGCCTGAACAACTCTATTTTTCTTTCTACTGATGAGAAAAAGGAATTAGGCATAGATTGCAGTAGAAGACATTTAGTCTGGAAGACATTTAGGAATAACTTGCTTAAGGGACATTTTAGAGATTAGGATCCCCAGGCAAGTAGTGATGTTGCTGTGATGGGGAAGCATACGGCTCTCTGGCCCTAGTAGAGACAGACTCAGATCCTTTAAGCCCTCATTAAGATACTGTGTGTAAATTTTGTTTTTATTAATGCAAATTATAATTATTCAGTATTCCTTTCATTTTTTTCCTTTGACAATTTTAAGCCTTCATTTTCTTGTCCTAGGTTAAGACTGATGAACAGGAGCCAAAGAAGAGCTTTGTTGCAAATGTATACACTTTTTCCTAAAGTGATTTTTCCATGACCTGATACTTGTATCACTGAGCATCTTGATAAATGAATGACTGGGTGGTTTTATTAAGCCAGTTTTGTTGTTGTTGTTGTTGTTATTTTTTCCCGCTCTCCGTCTTCCTTTCCATACAGCTCAGTCCCAGTTCCAGATTGAGGAAGCTGCCTCAGGGTCGCCCTGTTCCTCCCCTTGGACCTGAGACAAGAGTTTCTGTAGTCTGGGTGGAGCGCTATGATGATATAGGTACTGTATGAGGACTCTGTCCATAAATAAAATGACAATGACTTGTTAAATGTCTACAGGAATGGGCACATAAGCATGGTGTGGTGGCCAGGAGCTAGTCCTGGAGCTCAGCAAGCCTGGGTTTGCCCCCAGCTCCAACCACTCAGTTTCTTTAAGCCTTAGATTACTCCTCTGTTAAATCCTGGTACTTTCTTCATAGTTGTGAAGATTTGATGAGACTAATAGATACAAAGCTTTTGGCTATTCATGTTAGCATCACAATCAGTGGTTTGTTGCCAATTGGTCTCAGTCATCCCAGGACCTTTGGAAAGGGGAAGGGCAAGCACTTCACTTACCCTCTCTTCACCTTCTGCCTTGTTTTAGTATAAAGCTTAATTTGTCCTTAAGAATTACGCTCTGGGTAAGTTTTTTATGATTTTTACGTAGGGAGCGTTAGAGCATTAGAAATGTATACTTTGTGGAGAATCCCATACAGCCCAGAGTTTGTGGGAAAGTGTGATAGTTACTTTTCAACCAAGCCCTCAAAGACCACAGAACATATTTTTCTAAAAACTCTTTGCTTTAGATGAAATTAGCTAAAAAATGTCTTGAAGGAGAATTTTTTAATTTGTAGAAACTAATTAAGATGGTATTTCAGGACAGCACAGTCCTATTTGGCACTTATTTACATAAAGAGATTAGAAAATTAGTTTTCCTATTATCTGTTTGGGAAAATGGGGGAGATATTAATTGTAATGCTGTCATTTTCTTCCAGAAAACTTTCCCCTCTCAGAGCTGATGACAGAGATCAGTACTGGTGTGGAAACTACTGCAAATAGTAGCACTTCACTGAGGTACACTCTTATTTGCTTGAAGTTTATCAGCATGTCTTTATTTTACTATATTGATTGTAGCTTAACAAATAATTATGAAAGCGTTGTAGACAATTAGAAATAAAAATAGAGAAAAATGATCAAAGAAAGTAGTTTGTAATGTACAAAGTTATCAAATTATTATAGCATGGATTTTTTAAAGCTACTTTATTTAGGTGTGACTGATGGACATGTTAAAAGCTGTACATATTTAATGTATACAACTTGATGAGTTTTGAGATAAGTATATATCCATGAAACCATCACAACAATCTATTCCATGAACATGTCTGTCATCTCCGAAGTTTCCTCCTGCCCACTTCATTCATTATTACTTTGTGATAAGAACACTTAACATAAGATCTACCCTCTTAGCAAATTTGTAAGTACACAATACTGTATTATTAGCTGTAGCCACTATACTGTACTGTTGATCTCTAGAACTTATCTTGCATAACTGAAACTTTATATCGTTTGGCTAATACCTCCTCATTTTTCCCTCCTTCCAGTTCGTGACAGCTAGCATTCTACTCTCAGCTTCTCTAACTATTTTAGATTCATCATATAAGTGATATTATGTGAAATTTGTCTTTTTGTGCCTGCCTTATACTTAGCATAAGGTACTCTAGACTCATCCATGTTGTCACAAATGGTAGGATTTCCATTTTAAGACTGAATAATATTTCATTGTATGTGTACACCACATTTTCCTCATCTGTTCGTCCATTGATGGATGTTGAGGTTGTTTCCATGGCTTAGCTGTTGTGAATAATGCTTCAGTGAAAATGCCAGTGCCGCTATCTCTTTGAGATCCTGGCGTTAGTTGCTCTGGATATATACCCTGAAGTGGGATTGCTGGATCGTATGGACATTCTATTTTTAATTTTTTGAGGAACACTACTGTTTTCCACAGTGGCTGCACCAGTTTATATTTCCACCAACAGCATATGAGGGGATTCCCTTTTCTCCACATTCTCGCCAACACTTGTTTTCTTTTGGTTTTTTTTTGAAAATGGCCATCCTACCTGGGATGAGTGCCATCTCATCAAGATTTTGATTTGCATTTCCCTGATGATTAGTGACATTGGGTGCTTTAGCAAGATTTTTTTTTTTTTTTTTTTGAGACGGAGTTTCGCTCTTGTTACCCAGGCTGGAGTGCAATGGCGCGATCTCGGCTCACCGCAACCTCCGCCTCCCGGGTTCAGGCAATTCTCCTGCCTCAGCCTCCTGAGTAGCTGGGATTACAGGCACGCACCACCATAC